TGCGCACTGCTGAGGCTACACTGATGGGCACTGATGAGGCTACACCGATGAGGCTGTACTGATGGGCACTGATGAGGCTACACCGATGAGGCTGCACTGATCAGGTTGCACTAGTGGGCACTGATGAGGCTACACTGATGATAGTTATTGACAAGGTGGCACTGATAGGCTGCACTGATGGATAAAGATTGGCACTGATGGGGCTGCACTGATATTCTACACTGATATGCTGCACTAATGGTGCTATATAAGTACCTGAAATAAAAAAATGATCAGTGCCCTGATTATCACAGTAAACGTCCCGTCAAAAGAAAGCCGGTTATTGTGTCCCTCGGACACGGCTCATCACCAATCAGGGTAAAGAGCCAATGACGTTGGCTCTTTACCATGTGATCAGCTGTGTCCAATCACAGCTGATAACCAGCATTTGATTACTTGTGATCAGCTGTGATTGGACACAGCCGATCACATGGTAAAGAGCCAATGCCATTGGCTCTTCACCCTGATCACCGATCGCCATGCTGCGCAAAAGTGACATGACCGGGAGGACGTCATATGATGGCCACCCAGATGGATGAAAGGCCCACCCAGCCGTCAATCTGCTATTGGCCGGGCAGAAACCAGGTAAATAGGCTGGCCAAGGTTTCCTGCAGAACTCTCGGGGGATAGCAGGGGCAAGGAAACAAGTTATACTTGGAAAATTGCTTAATAGATCAAAATATAGAAACGCAATAAGATGCATCAACAGCACACCCTTTACCACTGTGCAACGCCAGCAATTTGAAGGGTAAGTACAGCCAACAACAAAATAGGCAATAAATACTATTTATTGTTATTACAGTTTTTGCCTTGCTGTAAAATATAACATTGATCAAAAACTACAAGAAAGTGTTTTTTTTTTTTTTTGTTTTTTTTTTAAATAGAAGTTATTTTAAAACACACCTCCAGGCAGCTATTAAAATGCACCCTTTAATCCAGTTATGTATCCATTATAGGTAATATCACAACACAGCCAGTATAAATACCAGAATCTGTCTTCACATTAGCTTCCTTTAGAGCAGGGGGTCTCCAAACTTTGTAAGCAAAGGGCCAGCTTACTGTTCTTCAAGCTTTAAAGGGGCCAGACTGTGGCCGGTGGGGGTAGAGAATGTCCTGGCGTCAATAGGAGTAAGCAATGTCCCATCATTGGTTTTAGTGAAGGAATAGTTCCCCATCGTTGGTGTCGGTGGCAGGAATAGTGTTCCATCTTTGGTGGTAGGAACAATGCCTCATCCCTGGTGCCAGTAGAAGGAATAGTTCCCCATCGTTGGTGTTGGTGGCAGGAATAGTGTCCCATCTTTGGTAGCAGGAACAGTGCCTCCTCGCTGGTGCCAGTAGAAGGAATGGTTCTCCATCGCTGGTGTTGGTGGCAGGAATAGTGTCCCATCTTTGGTGGCAGGAATAGTGCCTCATCGCTCGTGCCAGTAGAAGGAATAGTTCCCCATCGTTGGTGTTGGTGACAGGAATAGTGTCCAATCTTTGGTGGCAGGAACAGTGCCTCATCGCTGGTGCCAGAAGGAATAGTTCCCCATCGTTGGTGTCGGTGGCAGGAATAGTGTCCCATCTTTGGTGGCAGGAATAGTGCCTCATCGCTGGTGCCAGTAGAAGGAATAGTGCCCCGTGGTTGGTATCAGTGAAAGACATAGTTCCCCATTGTTAGTAGATGGTATAGTACTCCATCGTTTGAGTCCGTCTGAGGAATATATACCCAAGGGCCAGAAAAGGCAAGCAAAGGGCCACATCGGGCCATAGTTTGGAGACCACTGCTGTAGAGGAACACTTAGCTAAGGAGGGGGAAGGGGCAGCACTGAGCACATCATGGCTGTATAACTGTGCTCAACATTGTCAGTCCAACCCTGTCATGATGCTTACAGGAGAGGAGTGCACATGGGTGACCTGATGACTTTGGTTCTGCCCCTTCATTGTATAAACAGCAGGCAAAAAGCAGAGGGGTACAGCAGACATCATTTTTTTTCCACAAAACAGGTAGATGGACTTTAGCTGTGCACAGGAGGCTTCCATCTTTAAGAATAATGAAGGACGTACAGGTGGGTCATATAGCTGGGCTCCTGAGATTATATACTTTGAGTTTGGCTGTGGAGAAGAGGGCACTCCAAACCCAATTTGACTTTGGCTTCACGTTGTTGTCCCACCATTAACTGAAATGGGTCACAGTGCACCTAAACATGTACAGTATCTAAAAAACGTCCAGAAGGGACCGCTATTCCAGTAAGAACCCTTTGAAGATATTTCGTGTCACTACCCATTGTGAATCTAGGAAGTGAGGGAAAATCTCCCCAACCATGGGTCTGTGTAAAGATACACAATCATTGGTTTCTTGAAATTCATACTACAGTGCCTTGAACAAGTCTTCCTCCCCCTTGAAATGTCCCCCATGTTGTCATGTTACAATGTATTTATTGGGATTTGATGTGATAGATCAACACAAAGTGGCACATAATTGTGAAGTGGAAGGAAAATGAGAAATGGTTTTCAACATTTGTGACCAATAAATCTGTGAAAAGTGAGGCGGCATTTGTATTCAGCCCCCCGGAGTCAATACTTTGTACATCCACCTTTCGCTGCAATTCCAGCTGCAAGTCTTTTTGGGGATGTCTCTTTGCACATCTAGAGAGGGACATTTCTGCCCATTCTTCTTTGCAGAATCGCTCAAGCTCTGTCAGATTGGATAGAGAGCATCTGTGAAAGCAATTTTCAAGTCTGGCCACAGATTCTCCATTGGATTTGGGTCTAGACTGTGACTGGGCCATTCTAACACATGAATATGCTTTGATCTAAACCAGGGGTCTGCAACCTTTAAGACATAAAGAGCCACTTGGACCCGTTTCCGAGAGGGAAAAAAAGACTGGGAGCCGCAAAACCATTGCAACATTTAAAACAAATCCGACACTGCATATATTGCAAAAAAAAACGCTCTGTTCATGAAGGGGGTTTAAGGGCCCAGTAAGCAAAGGGTTAATCAGGGCCACAGTGTATCGTCATAATCACAATCATAGCCTTAGGTCAGTGGTGGGCAACCTTTTTTTTCGACTGAGCCAAATCTCGCCAAAACCACGATTGAAATTTATTTTGAGAGAAACATTTTTAAAACTGAAAATACATCCCCCATATAGTAATTCATCCCCCATATAGTAATTCATCCCCCATATAGTAATTCATCCCCCATAGTAATTCATCCCCCTATAGTAATTCATCCCCCATAGTAATTCATCCCCCCTATAGTAATTCATCCCCCATATAGTAATTCATCCCCCCTATAGTAATTCATCCCCCCTATAGTAATTCATCCCCCATAGTAATTCATTCCCCATATTGTGTGAATTCACTTACCTTTGCTCCGCGCGTTCCTCTCGCTGGGTTCCCGCGCCGTTCTGGTCTTCAGGGCGGACTGTGAGAGGAGTTCGTCACGCTGCCCCGCCTACATCCGGGCTGCCCCGCCTACATCCTGACAGCCAATGTTTGCCAGCGGGCGCCCGGCACACAGAAGATCTGCATTAAAAGAGCCGCGGCTTGCCGACCCTATTGCCTGTCACCTGGTGGGCAGTGTGCTCCGGAGCCGCAGGAAAGGTGAAAAAGAGCCGCATGCGGCTCCGGAGCCGCGGGTTGCCGACACCCGATCTAAACCATTCCATTGTAGCTCTGGCTGGATGTTTCGGGTCGTTGTCCTGCTGGAAGGGGAACCTCCGCCCCGGTCTCAAGTCTTTTGCAGACTCTAACAGGTTTTCTTCTAAGATTGCCCTGTATTTGGCTCCATCCATCTTCCTGCTGTCACCACGTTTCACGGTGGGGATGGTGTGCTCAGGGTGATGTGCAGTGTTAGTTTTCCCCCACACATAGTGTTTTGCTTTTAGGCTAAAGAGTCCAATTTTAGTCTCATTGACCAGAGCACCTTCTTCCACGTTTGCTGTGTCCCCCACATGGCTTCTCGCAAACTGCAAACGGGACTTCTTACGGTTTTCTTTCAACAATGGCTTTCTTCTTGCCATTCTTCCATAAAGGCCAGATTTGTGGAGTGCACGACTAAAAGTTGTCCTGTAGACAGATACTCCCCCGAGCTGTGGATCTGTGCAGCTCCTCCAGAGTTCCCATGGGCCTCTTGGCTGCTTCTCTGATGAATGCTCTACTTGCCCAGCCCGTCGGTTTAGGTCATAGGTCTTTAAACTATGGCCCTCCAGGTGCTGAGGAACTACAAGTCCCATGAGGCCTTGCAAGACTCTGGCAGCCAAAGGCAAGACTCCCAAATGCATGATGGGACTTGTAGTTCTTCAACAGTTGGAGGGCCATGGTTTGGAGACCCCTGGTTTAGGTGGACGGCCATGTCTTGGTAGGTTAGCAGTTGTGCCATACTCTTTCCATTTTCGGATGATGGATTGAACAGTGCTCCGTGAGATGTTCAAAGTTTGGGATACTTTTTTTATAACCTAACCCTGCTTTAAACTTCTCCACAACTTTATCCCTGACCTGTGTGGTGTGTTCTTTGGCCTTCATGATGCTATTTGTTCACTAATGTTCTCTAACAAACAGCTGAGGGATTCACAGAACAGCTGTATTGATACTGAGATTACATTACACACAGGTGAAATCTATTTACTAATTAGGTGACTTCTGAAGGCAATTGGTTCCACCAGATTTTAGTTAGGGGTATCAGAGTAAAAGGGGGTGAATACAAATGCCGCCACACTTTTCAGATATTTATTTGTAAAAAATTTTAAAAACCATTTTTCATTTTCCTTCCACTTCATAATTATGTGCCACTTTGTGTTGGTCTATCACATAAAATCCCAATAAAAAGAATACATTTTTTTGTTTGTAACATGACAAAATGTGGAACATTTCAAGGAGTATGAATACTTTTTCAAAGCACTGTATGCTTATGGCTGCTCTTTCCTGTCTGGAACCCAACAAAAGGTCAAAGTCGTGCAAAATGCATCCCCATCTTCTCAGCACAGAGGAAGCTTATCTGCCGCATGCAATTTCTTATGATATGTGAAGGCCGACCTTGTCTGAAAACACTTTCCGCACTGGGCACACGAGAAAGGCTTCTTGCTGCTGTGGATCGTCTGGTGAGTGATTAAATTCGACTTGCAGGAGAAACACTTCCCACACACAGAGCACGAGTAAGGCTTCGCCCCCGTGTGGGTCCTGAGATGGTCGACAAGGTACGATTTCCGGGAATAGGTCTTCCCACACTCCGAGCAGGAGAAAGGCCTCTCCGACGTGTGGCTCCTCCTGTGCGTGTTCAGATGAGTCCTCTGCGAGAAACACTTCCCGCACTCTGGGCACGGATATGGCTTCTCGCCTGTGTGAACCCTCTCATGAAGGATAAGGACTGACTTTCGGGAAAACTGTTTCCCGCATTCGGTACAGAAGAACGGCTTCACCCCTGTGTGAAATGACTCGTGTGTGATGAGAGATATTTTGTGGGAGAAACATTTGCCACATTCGGAGCAGCAATATGGCTTCACTCCCGTGTGAATCCGTTCGTGGGAAACCAGATGGGCCCTCTGGGAGAAGCTTTTTCCGCACTCGGTGCATGAAAACGGCCTCTCTTCCGTGTGGGTCCTTTTATGTCTTAAAAAGGCCGATTTCAGCTTAAAACCTTTCCCGCACTCAGTACACGAATAAGGGTGTCCCCAGGCGTGGTTAGATTGGTGTCTTTGGAGAAGACAATTTTGAAAAAAACCATTTTCATAATCAGAGTGTGAATAGGTCCCTGTCAAGCTATGACTTGAGTGGTCAATGATAAGTTCTTCCTCCTTGACATGCTTGGAAAATGGGAACATTTCACCACCTGAGTGATGAGTACTGGGGCGTGAGTGACCAGGAATATTCCCACTGTGTATGGAGGGATCCAACGACAGGTCAGCCATGCGAGGTCCTGCATGGAGATACAAGGACATTGAGTTTCTTCCTGAAGAATCTTCCATGAAGTCTTCTTCTGTATTACCATATGGAGCAAAAACGGAAAGTCTATTCTCATAATTTCTGCTTTGATATCCACCTGGAAGAAATACGATGTCAAGTTAAGACAGTTTTTGGGACGGTTTTCCAAAATGATAAAAAAGTATCTTTTATTACTATGGACTTGTTTACGTGACTATCGGAGTGTGCTTCATCCTCTGTGGATGGGAAACTGCTTTGCTAGCATCTTTTTCAGGACACACAATATCAGTGTCCAATGTTGGGCTATAAACCACTCATCTCACCTGTTGTTGCTGCCGAAGCTTTGACTCAGTCAAATGACCACACATTAAACTGTGGTCAGTTGACTGAGTCAAAGCTTTGGCATCAAAGCCCAGGACCCTGCATTCACTATATCCGTTCTCCCCGGACCCTGCATTCACTATATCCGGTTTCCCTTGACGCAGCATTCACTATATCCGCTCTCCCCGGACCCCGCATTCACTACATCCGCTCTCCCCGGACCCCGCATTCACTACATCCGCTCTCCCCGGACCCCGCATTCACTACATCCGCTCTCCCCGGACCTTGCATTCACTACATCCGCTCTCCCCGGACCCCGCATTCACTATATCCGCTCTCCCGGGACCCCGCATTCACTATATCCGCTCTCCCCAGACCCCGCATTCAATATATCCGCTCTTCCCGGACCCATCATTCACTATATTTGCTCTCCCCAGACCCGGCATTCACTATATCCACTCTCCCTGGACCCTGCATTCACTATAGCCGCTCTCCCCGGACCCTGCATTCACTATATCCTCTCTCCCCAGAACCTGCATTCACTATATCCGGTCTCCCCGGACCCTGCATTCACTATATCCGGTCTCCTCGGACCCCACATTCACTATATCCGGTCTCCTTGGACCCTGCATTCACTATATCTGGTTTCCCCGGACCCTGCATTCACTATATCCGCTCTCCCCGGACCCTGCATTCCCTATATCCGCTCTCCCCGGACCCTGCATTCACTATATTCGCTCTCCCCGGACCCTGCATTCACTATATCCGCTCTCTGGACCCTGCATTCACTATATGTGGTCACCCACAGTTCACACAACATGGAATTGCAATTATTTCAGTAAATATAAACTGTTAAATCCCTTTTCTCATCAGCAGTATCGAGCAGTCTTCTGACTTCTATCAGTGTCCAGCAGAGCACTGGTTAATCTTGTAGGAGTTTTCATTCTCCCCTATGAGGCTGCATAACCGCTGATCTAGTCTGGACAGTGCTGATTGGCCCTGTGTGCTGATCACATGCACCCTCCAAAAGAAAAAAAACTCTCAAGCAATACATACCAAACTGAGCATGTGTAGAGTGTCTCCACACAATATGTCTTATCAGGAGTTAAGAGGGGGATACTGGAAGAAGGGGAGGATCAAAGAAGACAGGATCAAACAACCTATTTACACAATGCAGAGGATTAACCCCTTCGGTTCCACAGTGAGTATAACAAGCATGCTTTACTGCATATACAGACTGATTGTACTGTTGTGGGTTTAGTAACACTTTAAAGAGGCACTCTTCCAATCCGTTGTACAGTTGCTGAGGTCAGACAGTGGTGGGAGGAGGAGGAGGAGAAGGAGGGGGAAAAGGAAGAGGAGGGGGAAGAGGAGGGGAGAGGAGGGGAGGGGAGGGGAAGGGAGATGAGGGGAGGGGAGAGTAGGGGAAAGGAGGAGAGAGGGAGGGGGAGAGAAGAGAGGAGGGGGGGGAGGGGAGAAGAGAGGAGGGGGGGGGGGGGAGAAGAGAGGAGGGGGGGAGGGGAGAAGAGAGGAGGGGGGGAGAGGGAGAGAAGAGAGGAGGGGGGGGAGGGGAGAAGAGAGGAGGGGGGGAGGGGAGAGGGGGGGGGGGGGGGGGGAGGGGAGGGGGGGGGAGGGGGGAGAGGAGGGGAGGAGGGAGAGAGGAGGGGAGGGAGAGGAAGGGGGAGAAAAGGGGAGGGGAGGGAGAAAAGTGAAGGTGAGGGGAGGGGAGAGGAAGGGAGGTGGAGGGGAGAGGAGGGGGAGGGGAGGGTCAGGGGGAGAGGAGAGGAGGGATGGAGAGGAGGGGTGGAAGAGGAGGGGAGGGGAGAAGGGAGGGAGGAGTCCCTCTTTGAGGTGAGGTCTTCCGTCTAGAGTTGAGGGAGGAGAGAGGGGAGGGGATCTTAAAGGAGGGGAGGGGAGAGGAAGGGGAGGGGAGGGGATGGGAGAGGAGGGGAGGAAATGGGTGGGGAGGGGGAGGGAGAGGGGAGGGAGAGGGGAGGGGGGAGGGGGGCGAGCTCCTATCAAGGAGATGAATCTACTTCGGTGCAAAGTGCCCGTGCTGGAGAGAGAGGGCTATGTTTATAACACACAGTTTTACATACAATCCAGCCTGGGTCACAGCTCCAGAATACACCGTTCTCCAGTAGCAGTAACTGTTTAGCACTTCACTCAAAAGGGGAAGTTCTGCTTGTTTGTATCCTCCCCCCCTCCCACCTCCGCTGCCACATTTTTGCACTTTTTGGGGGGCAGCGGGTGCCTGGTTTTGACAGGTACCCGTTCCCCCTTCTGGTCAGATGCCTCTTGGCGATGTGAGCTGGAAGTACGGCCCCGCAACCTTCTGGGACACTTGACAGGTCCCAGACGACTGCAGGACCATTCACAAAGCACAGGGCGCTTCTCGTAATGCGCAGTAAGAGGCCGGATGTGAAGCTGCAAGGCTTCACTGCCAGTTATTATTATTATTCAGGATTTATATAGCACCAACAGCTTGGGCAGTGCTTTACAAAATGAAGGCGGACATTACAGTTACAATACAATTTGGTACAAGAGGAAACAGAGGGCCCTGGTCCTCAGAGCTTACAATCTAGGAGGAAGGGTTGAGTGATACAAAAGGTAATAGCTGTGGGGGATGAGCTGATGGAGGAAATAAATGGCAGTTTACTAGGTAGAAGCAGGATAGGCTTCTTTAACCACTTGCTGACCGCAGATAGCCGAATGACGGCTACACTGCGGCCGGCTAGTTCTGGGAGGTTGTCATATGACGTCCTCCCAGAACGTGCTCTCCTACACCCCCCCGGGGGCGCACACCCGGCGATCTCCATGATCGCTGTGTCCTACGGAGACAGCTGATCAAGTGATGTGGTAAAAGGCCAATCACAGCAGCCTTTTACCACGTGATCAGCCATGTCCAATGACACGCTGATCACCGGGAAATGCAATTGCCGGTTCTCGGCTGCACTTCCCTCACGCTGTCAGAACGTGGGGAAAGTACTGCCGAGAACCGGCAGTTGTCAGAGCAGGGATCGGCACCGATCATCAGGGGACTGATGATCAGTGCCCTGATGATCGGTGCCCAGCAGTGCCACCCACCAGTTTCCACCCACCTGTGCCCAGCAGTGCGCCCCACCTGTGCCAAGCAGTGTGCCCACCTGTGCCCAGCAGTGCACGCTCCTGTGCCCAGCCGTGCACCCACCTGTGCCATCCAGCAGTGCCACACACCTGTGCTCAGAAGTGCCACCTACCTGTGCCCAGCAGTGCCACCCACCTGTGCCCACCCACAAATGCCCACCAGTGCCACCTACCTGTGCCCACCAGTGCAGCGCAGCAGTGCTGCCAGTCAGTGCCCAGTGGTTGTGCAAGTCAGTGCCGCCAGTCAGTGCCCAGCAGTGATGCCAGTCAGTGCCACCTATCAGTGTCGCCTATCCGTGACACCTCATTAGTGCTGCCTATTAGTGCCACCTATCCATGCCACCTCATTAGTGCTACCTATCAGTGCCCATCAGTGCTGCCTCATCAATGCACATCAGTGAAGGAGAAAAATTACCTGTTTGAAAATTTTTATAATAGAAACAAAGAAACTTTTTTAAAAAAAAATTTTTGCAGTTTTTTTGTTTATAGCGCAAAAAGTAAAGTGCTCAGCGGGGATTAAATACCACCAAAAGAAAGCTCTATTTGTGTGAAAAAAATGATAAAAATTTCATATGGGTACAATCTTGCATGACCGCGCAATTGTCAAAGTGCGACAGGGCTGAAAGATGAAAATTGGCCTGGTAAAGAAGGGGGTATAAGTGCCCAGTAGGCAAGTGGGGTAAAGTGTATTTTCTAAAAAATGTGTGTTTGAAAAACTGCTGCGCAGATATTGCGCGATATAAAAATATGCAACATCCACCATTTTATTCTCTAGGGCCTCTGCTTAAAAAATATAGAATGTTTGGGGGTTCTAAGTAGTTTTCTAGCAAAAAAAAAAAGATGTTTTTTTATATATAGGAGAGGAATGGCAGAATTGGCGCAGGAAGGTATTAACCACTTGCCTACAGGGCACGTATACCTCCTTCCTTACCAGGCCGATTTTCAGCTTTCAGCGCTGTCACACTTTGAATGACAATTGTGTGGTCATGCAACACAGTACCCATATGAAACTTTTAGCATTTTTTTTTCACACAAATAGAGCTTTCTTTTGGTGGTATTTACTCACCGTTGGGTGTTTTTATTTTTTGCACTATAAACAATAAAAGAGCAAACAATTTGAAAAAAAAAGTTTTTCTTTGTTTCTATTATACAA